AGACCCAGGAACTTGCTCTAGAGGAATTAAGAAACATGCTCAATTTATCATTAGCATTAAGAGTCTTGTAATTTTACCCTCTGAGTGATTATCAGTAGTTCAAATTCCATTCCTACTTCCCTGTGTTTAAATTCACTGGATGTTTGATTTCTATTTAAGAGACGTGGTCAAGATTGGGGAAGAAAGAAATTTCAAATAATAAAACATATTAGAACTTAAAGTTACATTTTATGCCCAGAGCACTATACTTCTGTTGTTAACTAATGTCCATGACTTTTTAAAAAACCTAGAATTTCACTGGTACATTTGGGAAAATAAAATTAAATTTTTTCCTTGTGGTTTTTCAGTAGTTATGTTCTGATGGGGTTCATATAGATTGCTTTTATATTAATTAGCTTTGCTTTCAATTTTTTTTTGGTTTCTTATAATATGTGCTTTTTTAACCATGTTTGTTAAAGATATGCACTCAAAGACTCTTTCTTTAATACCTTTACTCCACATTCTGCTCAGAGAATTGATTCTTTCTGCGTGACATCATGTTGCTTTTTTCCGGCTCATATATCAGCTGTTTTTTTTTTTCTTTTTTCTTCTCCCTTTTTTTTTATTTTTTTAATTTCTCCCTGTCTTTTCTACCTTCCCTTCCCCCTTCCCTTTTCTCTTTTGTTTTTCTTTTGTCTTCAGCCTATTCTGCAAACTTGGAGTTCTTGTCAGGCATAGGATTTCACTATTTGGTAAGGAGACCCTTGAACAAATACCAGCATGGCCATCACTTGGTTTTCTTTGCCATTTTTGCACTGTGTTGTGTGCTGCTATGTCGCATGAGTGCATGTCTGCATGGCTGCATGCATGGTTGTCATAGGCCAAGAAAAGGTCCTCGAGGTTGTTTATATATAACACTATCTATGGTGAAATTGAGGACTGAGTCTTTTTTATACTAGTCCAAAGTATAACTGAAAATGAAACGATTGTATTATTAAAGAGCAAATGAATGAAAGTGGCAAGTTCTTCCATATTTTATTTCAGGGATAAAACAAAACCAGGCCCTCGGGTTTGTGTTTGGTTATCTGTGATAGATTAAATAATGAGCTGTTATAAATCAAAATTTTAAACTGCACTTATTTTTTTTTTTTAATGCTCTTGACTACAGATTTGCATGTCTACTGCATTCCAAACATTGGAGCTTCATAGTCAAGACACTGACGCCAGGGAGCTTCGGAGCTTCACTTGGCAGAAGTGGCTTTTCTAGCATCACTCACCCCAGAGTCAGTTTCTGTTTGTTTCTGGGAATTCACATAGCTGAAGTCCATGTTCCTGAGCACCTGCTTCTGGACAGCCATGCAGGGTGGGCACTCACTTTCCACACATTTTCCCTGCTTTGGGGCTTTAGGACTCTGTAGCAGCTGGTAGAATTTGTGTTTTGCACTTTCCTGTGTCTGATTTTATAAACTGCCAAAGCAAATTTGAGCCCTTTGCTGTATAGGTTTTGAGACAGTGTTGGGGTAGTTTTAGTAATAAAACATTTAGTGCATTGGTATAGATGTTATAGTTCAGTTCCATTTCCAGGCAAAACTAAAAATTAAAAAAAAGTTAAGTCATTTCTACAAAGCCACAGTAAATAAACTGAGACGTAAGTTTCTGGATATAATTAGTTAATTCTGTGTTTGGTTTCTAGTATTATCATATCTATTATTTGGCACTCTTAAATTTAGTAATTAAAATTTATATTTCACATAAATTACCTGAGTTTTTATATTAATGTTTCCGTTATTTAAAATCAATGGGGCAATTATCTTCAGAATAATTTCCAGTTGTCTTTCATTTAACTTGTCTTCAACAGAGAAAAATTTTTATGAAAATTGTTCAGACAGGATTTTTATATACTCTCTAATCTTCTCAGAATAACAGTGGATACAAATATTCTCCATTTTCTTCAGAGAGTAATATCTCTGAATATATATAGCACTGATGGGGGACTTATTTCTCAGCTACAGTTTTACATTCTTATTAAAGAGCATAATATTTCTAACTTCCTACTTAATGTATATTCTGATTTTCCTATATTACTATCATTTCCTTTTAAAGTTTTTTTGAAGTATTTCATGTGTACGGTGAAGTACACAAATCTTAAAAACAACTTGATGAAATTTTATATACATATATATCTAGTTAATCATTGCTCAGGCCAAGATAAACATTTCCCACATCCTAGAAGCTTCCCTTGTGCCATTTTCCAAATTATGACCATCTGCAGAGGAACCACATGTAGACTTCCAATCCATGGATTAATTTTGCCTGTTCTTGAACTTCCATTTTTCCTTTCGAATGTATCATTTAAGTTTGGTAATTGAAGATAAATGTGTTATATGGTTTGTTGTAACGACTGGAGAAGAACTAGACTTTAATGTTCATTCCATCTCTATGTGATCCTTTTATTCTACTTAGGCATTGTGTTTCAAATCTCTTAGCCTTTAATACTATTAATAAGACTTTAATACTATTAGCCTTACTTTTAATGAGAATTGGAGACCTGCTATATGTTTTTACCCCTCAAAAACAGATTTTTGCACATTCCTCAAATTATTAAAAGTGTCTATTGTTACTGCTTCAGTTTGCTTTGGCATTTGCCTATAAAATAGAAACTTCAAGAGCCTTTATTAATCAAGCATACTCTAATATAGACTTGCCAAATTAAATTTTAAGCATTTAAAGTTTACACATTATTAGGGTTATAGCCTGGCTTTAGACACTAATATGTTCTAGAGAGAATAGTGGGCTTTGAATCAGAAAACCTAGATGTAAGTCCTATTTTTGTGTCTTAACCAGCTGAATAATTCAGACAATGGACTTAAATTCTCTGAACTTGTATTTTTTTTTTCGTTTTTAAAGTAGGGTAAAATAACTGCTAATCATAGAGATCCATTGTGTATCAAATCTTAGGTGAAATAATGAATGTTGCAGTTCTATGTAAACTGTAACCCGATACCCTTCACATGTAAGGTATTCCAAGTCTTATTAGATTTTATTTACTAATTTGTTTAAGTCTTATTTAGATAAATCAAATTACATACAAACTAAACTTGGGGACTTAGGTTTTTAAAATACATGCACAATGAAGCCTTTATATTATTTACTTTTTGATTTCTTAATTATGCCATTGTGGATTTTCCCAACGAGAGAGACCCGGTAGCATATATGCAGTGGTTGTTTATATCATGATATTCCTCTCTTATTTTTTCCTTTCACTCGACCTTTATGTTATTAATACATCATTTTCCTGCATTCACGTTTTAAAATTTTTCCATGACCTAATCTAAGTTAAGACAATTGATAGTTGAGGTTAACAAAGAAATGCTTGAATTTTGTTATGATGAGCAAAGGTAAAGATGTAGAAAGATACACGTTAGCCTTAAATATATCAGGAATTGGAGATAGGAGGGGAACATTAAAATAAGGAGACAAAATACTTGTCCTGGTGGTGATAATTGTGGTGATCAGGGTTTGATGGGATGGAATGGAATATGGAATATGGAATAAATGGAATATTTATTCCGTGTTGGCTGCCAAATTGTAGTTATATCTCTAAACCTCACCTGTAGTTGAAAGATTTTTCTGACATACTAAGTGAGGATTCCCAAAACTTGGACTTCTGTATCTGTATGTATCTTCTGTCTACTTGAGGAGATTTCCTCTACATTGAAGAACACTGTCCAAGAATTGAGATCAATGGTGTTTTTATACCACCTCTATTCTTCTTGAGGCATTTAAACTATTCCATTTTATATATTTTTTAAAAAGATGAGGTTTTTAAAAGTGGGGAGAGCTGTGTTCCCTACAGAATTCTGGTGCATCAATTGGAATGCTCTATGGGGTGGGGAAGAAAGAAAGAAAATAGCATCTTGTTTAAATACAGGCTTCCCTGTCAGAACTCTGAAATGCTTGCTAGTGATTATAAGTCGGTGCACACGTGTGTTTTGGAAATCTGGTTAGGACATAAATAGGACCTCGGCAGGCTGACCAGTGATAAGGATCCCATTTGCCATTTTCAAGCACCCAGTGTTGACTAAGGAAATACTGTTTTTATTCCTATCATTTTTCCTCTCACTTTTGCTACCTGGAAATTCTCATTACTAATTTCAAGGCAGATAGAGGATACATAAGCCCTCCCGTTACCATCTATTTGAACCTTCCAGTCATTTTTAGAGGAAACAGAATCTCACAACTAAGACGCCAACAGTAATAGCGATGGTGCTACAAGCGTGTGCATGTCAGGGCTCTCTAAGGGCTTTATTTTTATGTGCGAAAAAAATCTAACCGCATAGTGACATTCACTTTGTGCATCCCTTCAGTGAACATTGTGTGTTGGCTATGTGTGAGGCATCCTCTCAGGAAGTGAGGATAGAAAAATGAAGATTTCTCTCTCCACTACCACACCGAGACCAGTCTGCAGGCATCCTTCACCTGCACCCTCCTCCTGGCGCACACTAACCATTCTCTCCGAACCCCCTCTTGCCTCTCCATACTGTGCTCCGCAGCGATCATACCATGTCTTCACAATCGCCTCTCTCGTCACACCCCTGCATGTTCAGTGGCTTTCCGTTTCTGTAGAGTAGAGATCGTTCTTTTACCTAGCTGTGGTAGCGCTTCACACTCTATTCCCTGTGCGCCGCTGCATCTTATTTTCCAGCATGTTCTCTCTTGCTCACTATGCTTCCTCAGCTTCACTGGCCGCCTCTCTGCTTCTTGAATGTGCTGTGTTTCTTTCTGCTCAGGGTCTTTGCACATGCTGTGATTACTGCCTGAGATTGGATTCCCATATGTAACGCTCATCTCCTCAATCCTTCACACCCATAATAAACTATCCAGCCTTCAGATTTCAATCCAGACATTACCCTTTCAGAAAAAGCTTCCCTGGACCCCCAATTATATTCCCTCCTTCTACCGTTATAACATTCTCTGGCTCCCTGTACCTTTCTCTCATACCACTGATGGCGTACTGGATTAACACCTTTCCTCACAGAAAACTCTCAGCTCTGTGAGGAATTACTGTTGTATCCTCAGTGCCTAGAAGAAAGTCTGGCACATAGTAGGTATTTTATAAATATCTGATGAATGAATGAATGAATGAACCAACCAGGTCCCTCCTTCAAGGAGCCTACAGTCTAGGCTGGGTGTTTTACACCTTGGGAGGCTGAGGTGGGTGGATCACTTAAAGCCAGGAGTTCCCAGCCTGGGCAACATAGCCAGACTCTGTCTCTATAAAAAATTTAAAAATTAGCAGGGCATGGTGGTGCACACTTATAGTCCTAGCTACTAGGGTGGCTGAGGCAGGAGGATTGCTTGAGCCCAGTTATTTGAGTCTGTAGTGAGCTGTGATCATGCCACTGCACTCCATTCTGAGCCACAGAGTGAGACCCTGTCTCAAAAAAGAAGAAAAAAAGCCTTCAGTCTAACAGAGAAGACAGATAAATATGCAGACACTTATGACAATGAGACTAGTGCTATGAATTTTGAAGTTTTCTTACATTCATGAATAACCCAAGCTTTCCTTTTTTGTGCGTGCTTCGATTATTAAGAAAAATGTAGTATCTAATTATCCTACAATCTATGAGAGTCACATTGTTTTGATTCCTTAAGGGGTCCATAACACCACTTAGGGCACTTACACTGAAAAGGAAATAACACATAATTAATGACCCTTCAAATAACAAGATCATTAAACTCAACCAGCAGT